AAAGTTGTAGGTAAAACTTAATTACGATGTAACCTAAACTACTCATTTTCTGCTATTCATTTTAAAAACTTATATTCATCTCTAATCTTTGGAGAAATAACGTGTCTTACAGTGTTACAAATGTAGTTATTAATTTAACGAAGGGAACAATATTTTCACGAGACATATAACATTAGTTAACTTTTGTTTTCCCAGGCTAACAAATGCCAGCCAGCCAGCAATCCTCACTAAGACATGTGACGACAGAAAACATATCTCCATAAATCAACACTGTTTATACGTAACGCACGAAGAATTAACGACACGAGCAATACATAATCGCCAGTACTCTTATCAGCACTATTTAGTTGATGCGCAGTTTTGAGCGTGAGTGCGTGCAAAACTAATGGCACTGGACGAATAAACCAATATTAAAGATTCCACAGGAACACCAAAAACCTTCTAAGTACTATGCGTGTGTGGGTGTGTTTAGAAAAGCATTTTCCTCCAAGCCCAATCAGAAAAGAATGATACGGTTCAGATAAGTATTACAGTTTGGCGACACATTTGCCCCAACATTGCATGATCTTATGGTACTATCGATTGATACAGCGCAAGACGGAGTTGTCTATTTCACTCACGTGGTTCTCTACTTTATGGCATCGCTAAGTGCCAAAGGACCACTAAACGAGCTAGAGACTCAAGAACCACTATTGTTTCTACCAACATGGTGTCACACATATTATTTGATGTAGAGAATTATTTGCCCAACTGTCACGCCTAGCAGTTAAACTATATATATGTATATCTATTACAATTTTTTTTTTTATTCTAAATTAGAATCCAATTTCAAACCCACTTCTTTTCTAGTCAATGCCAAACGTATAAAGGAAAGGCAAAACGTAATCCTGCTATATTTATACAGAAAAAACAACCTGCTATTACATGCATGGAATACACAGAAGAAACCTATCGCAGATGAGATGATATCAAACAAATGTAAAATGAGATGCTCAATTATCTTTAAAAACCCCAATGTATAGCCCACCATGTAAACAATGATGTAAAATGAGATGTTCCATTATACACAAAAAAACAACCTGCTATTACATGCACGGAATACACAGAAGAAACCTATCGCAGATGGGATGATATCAAACAAATGTAAAATGAGATGCTCAATTATCTTTAAAAACCCAATGTATAGCCCACCATGTGAACAATGATGTAAAATGAGATGTTCCATTATACACAAAAAAAACAACTACTTTAGACAGATAAAGAAATGCGTAAAATGAAATGCGTTTCTTGGGTAATTTCGAAAGAAAAAAAGTTCCCATTTATGCAACAAGTTTCTACTTTATTTCTCTATATTCATTCTACAGATTATCATTACCACTATAATGTTGAATGGAGAATCTACCACACTAACATAGCGGTAAGTACCCATAAAAACATGAATTTAGAATCTGAACGTCTGTGTTCTTTCCAGCAGGAAGGAAATCATAATAATAAAATTATTTACAAAAACACTACCCCCCCCCCCCCAATGGCTTAGCGGTAAGTCAGTGGGCTTTTAACGCGAAAAATCGGGTTTCATTACCCGCTATGGCCAGGCCACATCAAAGATATCTCATTGTGCAGCTTTGTGCTTTACAACCAGCCAACTAAGCAGCCACATATATTTTACTTTTATTTCTCCATCCACAAATATGATTATCAGGGATCCCACTACCCTAATTAAATTGATGAAAAATATTACTGACAGAAGACCGCCTTGATCATTTATCTTCCCGTTTATTTGAGAGACTACTGACAATTTTTTAGCTCCAAACTTCATAAATAAAATAAGTAAATGATAGCGTCTCGTTTTGTATTGAACAATAGAACAATCCAATCGTCATAGTTGGTATTAGCAAGCATAGAACTACCACAAATAATGTCATATTTATTTAATTTTAATAATTAATGTTATTAACTGTAAGATGCCGCGAAATATATTTATGAAATACGTTCTATTTTAAATTCTAACATTTCATGTTAAGGATGAAACACAAGAGTTTACTTTTCTAGTTAGTTCAAGTATCCAGTGGTTTCAAAAATGCGTAACGGCGTCAAATATTAAGTTTGTCCACGTGAAAAACTGAGTGCGGGAAGGTTTCAAGTCCACAATTCTGCTCAGCGAGAGTATTCATTAGCACGTTGAAAATAAGTGACTTATAAATTTTACAAATTGACTGTCACAAATCAATGACATGTCTAAGTTATGCCCTTATCAACCGAATAATGTGAGGTTGAGCCTTTGACAAAACAACAGACCCGGTAACTAAATTGGTTAAAACGAGTTCGAATCCTGCCCTACCTAACTTTTCTCGCGCTTTTTATCCTCTTGCTAAAACAAACATTATTGGTTTAGCACGTCGCATCCATATTTTGTAATTTCTAGGTATTTATTATAATTTTAGAACAGTCAGGCGTAAATTTGGAAATTCTCAAAAACGAAACTCGTATGTGATAATAACGAAATAAATATTTTTTGTTTTACCAGATAGGATGCTGCGTCTTTCGGGGATATAGAAATAAAAATACCACTTGCGCTCACTCACGTAATATACTCGAATACTTGATTAGTTACTACTTCTAATGGGCTTCCCAAAATGTGTGGTCGATGTTACAACGCCTTGACATTACGTGGAGTAAAGTTTAAAGTTGTATAGAAATGGGCTCACTGTAGGATAACCGAGCAGTTAGTTCTGTAAGGTGCTAATTTACTCTCTAAAGTAACCGACTTGTCTTCGTATCGTTAAGGTAGGGTCCACGTATTGCACCAGTAAGGTGCTACTTTACTCTCTAAACTAACCGACTTGTCTTCGTATCGTTAGGTAGGGTCCACGTATTGCACCAGTAAGGTGCTACTTTACTCTCTAAACTAACCGACTTGTCTTCGTATCGTTAGGTAGGGTCCACGTATTGCACCAGTAAAGTGCTACTTTACTCTCTAAACTAACCGACTTGTCTTCGTACCGTTGGGTAGGGTCCGCGTATTGCA